AATCCCACCAGATGTTCCAGAATAAATCATGATAATAAATTAACACTAGGGTTTAGTGTTGTAGCACTAGTGTTTAGTGTTAGGGTGGCAATCCCACCAGATGTTCCAGAATAAATCATGATAATAAATTAACACTAGGGTTTAGTGTTGTAGCACTAGTGTTTAGTGTTAGGGTGGCAATTCTACTAAATGTTCCTGAATAAATTATGATAATAAAGTAATACTAGAGTTTAGTCTTATAACACTAGCCTTTAGTGTTAGGATGGCAATCTCACCAACAATAAATAAAAATAAAGGTAGTTAGTGGCAATCCCACCAAGGTTAATTGAAAAGGTAGTTAGTGGCAATCCCACCAAGGTTAATTGAAATGGTAGTTAGTGGTAATCCCACTATATTTACTGTAATGGTGGCAATCCCACCAAGGTTAATTGAAAAGGTAGTCAGTGGCAATAGCACCAAGGTTAATTGAAAAGGTAGTTAGTGTCAATCCTATTATGTTTACTGCAATAGTGGCAATCCCACCAACATTATTTGAAAGAGTAATTAGTGGCAATCGCACTAATGTGTACTGTAATGGTGACAATCCCACCAACATTTATTGAAAGAGTATTAAGTGGCAATTCCACTAATGTTTATGGTAATGGTGGCCCGACGCGAAGCGGAGGGCAGTAAACATCCAAGGGAGGAAAAGGCACTTTACTCCCAAGTAATACATATGATTTTTCCGCCTCCCTCAAATAACAAGTCATTTTTAAATAATTTATTTATTAAACTAATAAACAAAATTTATTAAAGAACTAAAATTATGAAGTAGGTATAGGCATGTTATTTTCATTCTTGCATCCTACATATTTTTAATTTGTGGTAGAGTAATTATTTTTCTGAGTAAGTACGAATATGCTTTTCTTTTGCCCATTGCTTGAAATGTAAATACCGTTTTTCGTATTTTTCTTTAGATTTTTGGGGTAATAGAGATTGAACTGTTGCATTAACCTGTTCCAAAATATCCGGTGGTGTATTATTTAATCTTCAAATTCGCTTGAATCACTCATTTTTTAAATATTATTTTATATTTTGTAGATATATTATAGCGTAACACACTTTAAAACTGATCTGTCAATCGACCATAGCATGCTATAATATTTCTGTCCTAAATTCGAAAATCGGATGAATCTATGAATTGAAGTCAAATTATTAATTTATAAATCGTTAAATTAAAATAACAATTTACTGATTTTTACTATTTTGCAAAATACAGGGTGTTCTATAAATAAACGGTAAAATTCATACTTATATAATAGAATATAGTTTAGGTCGTCAATGCCGTATAAGCTATTTCATTTATGACATACCATGACGTTACTTTTACTTTTCCTCCCTGGAGAGTAAAAGTACTTTTCCTCCCTAGGGAGGAAAAGTATGACTTTGCTCCCTGCAATGAGGTCAGGAAATGTATACTTTGGATAGAGGTAGGCGGAAAAATGTTTTGTTAGCAGTTACCGAAAATCCGTATACAATATAAGAAATATTTTAAGAGAACAGGAAACAAGTTATAGTCAGTACAAACAGGGCCAAGTAGAGGGGGGGGGGGGGTAGCCGGGACAAATTCCTGGGGCCCGGACTCAAATGGGGGCCCGACAACTGAATGAGAAATTCGACACAAGACGAGGGGGGGAAGTTTTTGTTTGGAGAGCTGTTTTTTTGTCACGGGGCCCAATCTAGAGAATTGTCCTGGGGCCCGGCCTGGCTCTCGGCGGCCCTGAGTACAAAGAATACTTTCCAAAAATAAAATGCATCCGTATCATATGCAACTACATCAAGAACTCACTTTTATGGATTTTGAACACAGGGTAACTTTTTGTGAATGACAACAAAAAAATACTGAACGAATAGATTTTTTTGAGGACGTGCTTTTTGGAGATGAGAAAATTTTTCATCGAAATGGCTGCGTCAATAGACACAACTTTCATTATTATTCCACTTCTAATCCATACCATATAATTACTCACAGTCAGGAAAGTAAATGTTTGGGGTGGCATTATCAGTGAGTACGTGATAGGACCTCATTTTTTTAACGATCCTGAAAATGGGGAATTGTACTTAGACTTTCTAGTGAATTCTTTACCAATATCTTGAAGTACGCCGAAAAATGTGGTATTTACATGATGGTGCTCCTGCTCACAAAAACGCTCTTGCAAATGGCGAACTTGTAGATCAATTTCCAGGAAGATGGATAGGAAGAGACGGGTCAATCCGTCACTAGATTTAACTAAAATGGACTTTTTTTTCTGGGGCTACGTTAAGGTTCTAGTGTATAAAATACCTCAAACTACAGTAGATAATATGAAAATACGAGTAAGAGAGGCATTTCAAAGTGTTACTATGAAAATGCTTAGAAATGTGAGTCGGAACTTTGAAAACCGTCTTCAGGCCTGCATAAATATTATGGGAGGCCACTTTGAACAACTGTTCTAATTAAATATAATTTGCAAAAATTATATTTAAATAATAAAGTATGAATTTGTGCTAACTATGGATATTTTTTCTTTCTTAATGTAAAAATCGATAATAAATTACAGCTGGTTAAATTGTAATAATTACTAATTATCAAACAGAATGTATTTTCTATCAATTAGTTTCTGAATTATCGTTTTTATCACTAAAATTTAAAAATCTCTAAAAACTATTAACTTTTGGTATAGGGAATGCCTAAGTCAAATTACTTAGGCATTCCTAACTTTTGAACGATGATATAAAATATAGAGTGAACCATTTAAGAAAATTGAGAAAATTATGTATTTGTGTTTTGATTCACCCTGTACAGATTTGATGCGAATTGTCTCCGGATAAAATTTGAGCATGATTGAAAAATTGTGGTAGAAAAAACTGGTTATCAATGGTTTCTTTTGCATGATATAGGTCATTGAATTCATTACGATTTTCATACAAAACTGATTATATCCTGCAATATACCCTGTATAAACCAATAATAAATTATATTTTTAGAATAAGAAAAGCGAGGTCACTAAGTTGGTTCCAGAGGGAAGTTATTAAACACCCTGTATATTCAAAAATAATTTTAGAATATGTAGTTTAACGCTGTCTACCATTGTGTGAAAATATTTTTTTTACATCTCTAATAATGGCGGAGATATTGGACTTTTTCACACTAATGGATAACCCTGTATAATAATGGTATATTGTATTGTTGTTGAGTTTTTAGAAAATTTGTTGCAATGTCGGTTAAAATCCTTATATAACTTTTTGTGTTACTTGGGATACAAGGAATACCTTTTTTAAGTGATGTATATGTATGATGTATTTTTTCTGATATATTTAGTACAGTTCATCAAATTTCTAGAGGTGTTCGACGCCCAGACAGAGAAAGCGCTACGTGTGACTAAGATAGCTATTGTACAGTCTGCTAAACAAGTTATTTTAAATAGTTTTTAATATTTTTGGGTAATTAAATTTTAAAAGTGTGGAATAGTTTAGGGATTAAATTGGTCTGATTGGACTTTCTTAGAACGTTTTTAAAAGCAGCTAAAGATAGTATGTAGAATTGAAAATAATTATTATGCCATAAAAGGTGTTTTGGAATTCCTTCAACCTTTTGAAATTGAGTCAGAAAATATAAATTTTATAGGATAGCGGAAAATACCTATAATTTTTTTGTAGGCCTTTGTAAATCGTGGAAATAGTTTATATTTTATTTCTACCTTATTAAGGAAAATGGTACCTATTATTAATAACGGTTGTTTCTGAAACATTACTAAAATTTTCGAAATTTTGTTTTTCTACAAAATAATAAACTATACTATTTAGAAAAAAATTTATTTCTCTTATAATTTTATAAAAAATAACAGGGGAATATTTACATTTCTTGATCTATTAAACAAAACGATAAATTATCTCGACGAATGACACCATGTTCTAGTACGGAAGCTAGCTTTACATTTTTGTTGGTGGTTTCATGGGTTTCATATCAATTTTTTGTAATTGTAGTTTACACGTACATATACCTCTTAACACTTGTTTGCTTTATTAAAAAAGTGTGTTGTTGTGATTTACGTCGAAATAAGTCAAAAACAACTTGAAACCTCATATAAAATCAAAAAGGAGAAACGGAAAAAAATTGAGCCTGTAAATGAACACAACTCAGAAACAAAAATAGCTATCTAATAATAAAAAAATAAAATTTGATTCTTGTGCAGCTTCATCTATATCATTAACTGTTTTTGTTTTTTTAATGGTTTTTCTTGGTGATGAAAATTCCGATATCTCACGGTTATCGATTCTTTTTTTCTCTCCAGAAATGCGGTCGACAGTGTTTTTAGATACTCCTGTGGCTGCAGCAACACGATCATTTACATTTTTAAATGGTATTGAAGGTGAATTAAAGTTTCCTTCTCTTCTCATAAACTCTATAACATTGGCTATTATTTCGCGAGATTGACTGTTAATCACGCGGCCTCTTAATTTGCTATTAAACTCCATACTTAGGTTCTATTAAACTGTAATGAGCAAAAAACACAAACGAAAATAAAAGAAATGTTTTAGCGAAATTTACATCTGACATTTACGTCTGAATGAAATACTGAAATACTTGATGCGCAGAGTGTACTTTCATTGCGTAAATCCGTCGGGATGCCTGTCAGTAGTGCTTTCTCTGTCTAGCCGTCGAAAGCCTCTAGAAATTTGATGAACTGTACATATGTTTTACTTTAAGGACAGTATATGCAACGTCCTATATATTTTTTCTGTTATATTTACATATTTCTTACTTTACGGACACCCGGTATACAACAGACGTAACTACATTTCCTCGCGCGACTCACCCTATATAAATATTCGCTGAGCGATCCTGATTTCTTTAAAAAAATGTGCTGCTGCTGAAATGACGGTCCCGCCACTGACCATCCAACTAGGCTACGATAACAGCGACAACGCGTGCGTCGTTCCCATCTTCTCGGCGTCGCGACGTTCGCTCAGCTGGTCCCCGGGAGTCAGTACGTCCGCGCCGACCAAACCGTTATTGCGAAAAATGCCGATAAAACGAATAAGCTGATACGAAAAACCCAAAAAAAAACCTACAAAAATTCCGAAGTTACGAAAAAAAATGTTGAGATACTCGCGAGTGCAGTGAGATGCAACCAGCGGGAACACAAACGGCCGAAAATGGGGCGACTTCCACGGGCGCTACGGGGACGGCGACCACTAGGAGTCACGTGAACGGCGGCAGATTTGACTTCGACGATGGGGGCACCTACTGCGGAGGCTGGGAGGAGGGGAAAGCCCATGGGCATGGGGTCTGCACTGGACCTAAGGGACAAGGAGCATATTCGGGATCCTGGCATTATGGTTTTGAGGTCTCTGGGGTCTATACTTGGCCAAGGTAATTTTATACCTTTTAATAAACTGAAAACATACATACATTGCATAGTTAGCAATACAATATTGAATTCTATTTAAAAAGTAACGGTTAAAATTACACACATATCAAATACATCAAACTAGAAAAACTGTTAACAAAATGATTTATTATTTATGAAATTATTATAATTTGATAAATATTCTGAGAGCACAGTTAAGAATTTTATTAGAACAATGATGGATGATCATAGTGATGCATAAATCATTTACTTTTAAATGAAGTTAATTTTATTAAATACCCAAAAAGGAAATTTCTTACTTTATGAATGGTGTTATTTTTAGTAAGTTCCCAAAATATTTTATATTAACATCATAATATCGAATAGAACAATGCGATTTTCTGGAAGTATGTTTATCATTTTGGAATGCGCTTCTTATGTAGGTCAACTTTTGGGTTCAAGGACGTACTCAAGGGGTTAGACTTTCTAAATAAATATAGTTATATTCGTATAACTACGTTTTTATTTAGTTTTTCAGTAGATTGTTATGCGTATAGAAGAAACTGTTCAACATTTATTCAATTTATAAGTATGGAATATCAAATTTTTATGAAAATAGAAGTTGACTAGGGATTTACGTTTTTCACACAATTTAAAATTAAAAAAAATTGAAGGTTGGATGTCTCAGTGATTAGAGGTTGGACTTACGGATCTATTAGTCCGTGGTTAAAATCCTACCAGGACCAGGGCCTTTCTAATTAATATATTTATTTAAAATACATTCTAATGGCTAAAGAGAATTTCCATTTTGATCATTCACTGTTAGGTTCTAATTAACAGTACTGTTACTGCAGTGGCGCTGGTAAACAGTAGTAAAGCCCGCCGAGAACACACCCTATGACATTATTATTAAATAGTATGTGGCTTTTAGCCAATAGATCTAGATGTCCGTGGTCATAAAAATAATATACAGTGTGTCGCAAAAAGTTTATACCACACATGGAAATCTTTTTATTGTCAACTTATCAGAAAATTTTATTCTTGATAAAAGTTGGTGCATAACCTACATACTTAATATTCATTTCCTAAAAAATAAACTTTTTAAACCATATACGAGGGAGAATGAAAAATATGAATTTGGGTCAAGATGGACAGTGAATGTCTAATAAATAGATTAAAGTATGGGAGAAGAAAATAACATTTTTTAAATCACATAATGTTATATTGAATTATTTATTTGCTAGATTTGTTATTTGTATAGATGTAGTTTTATCTACTGATTTATCAAAGGTAATACAACAGGTGTACTCATTAGGGTGCTTCAAAAAATATTTTTTATTTTTCTTTAAGAGATCCCACTCTCGATATATTTTCATTATTTTAGTGACAGCATTGTATGGTTGACACACAGGAATACCTGTCGGTTTCCAAACTTTTATAACATCATCAACCACTTCACTAAAACACTGCCGGATAGTTAGGTTAGAATTAAATGCTTGAAAAAACAATTGCAAAACTTTTTCTGACGTAGGCAATTTTCGGTTACTCAATTTTTTACAGGATATCCAATTAAATAAACTTCTTTGCCAGTCATTTTTCATTAATAATAATTTTAAATACTCAATGGAAGATGAATACAAATAAGCACAGTGCTTCAGAAGACGGTGGGATACACACATGAAACAGCTGTCAGATTCAACTGACCAAAATAAATACTGCCACCTGGCGGACAGTTTATAAACCATTTTAGTTACTTGTGAATCATCAAAAAGTACTCTGGGATCAACTTGTTACGAAAAACTTAACATAAAACATGTAAAAAAAATAATTTTAATTTTTTTATTTTTAGTGAAAAAATTCCAGATCACAAACGACTTTATTTCATCTTCTAATTGAGATTATCAGACTTGATTACAAAAATTCGTAAAGTTTGAAAATCCAGCTTTCTGAATATGTGATAGTTATTTTTGAGAAATAAAAATTAATTGGTGTAATTTCAATTTGAACGTAAAAACGAAAATTTTCATGTTAAATGAATAGGAAATTAGAAAAAAACCACTTAGAGTTAAGCTATACAGGAGGATTTTTTTCTATTAATCACCAAAATTTGAGAGGGTAAGAGTTACAAAAAAAAATTCTTTTTGAAGCACCTTCATTTGCATGAAATCCTAAAAAAAGTTCTATGGAAGTTTTCCAAATTTTTACCTTCTTTATTCTTGCTCTACAGGCTCGGAATATTTTTTTTCGATTACAGACGTGAGCTTGTGAGTCAACATATTTTCAAATGATTAAGAAACCGAAAAAAACAATTATTAAAATAAGAATTTTTTTACGAAATTTTTGGGTACCCCATTTTGCTAGAAGAAATCAATTTATCGAAAAATCATAAGAAACCTTTTTTGTAGAGCATTAAATTTTACATAAGAAACTGCAATGATCATTGCCATAAGTTACTTTGATACAGAGGTATAAAATTCCAAACAAAATTAATTTTTCCCATGATAATTAAATGGGAAACTAAAATAAAAAGAGCGACCTCTTAGGAAACGCCAATATTTGATGAGGATTTTCTTTATATTAAATAGAAACATTTGAGAGGGTAAAAGCGAAAAAAAAATTTTTTTTGAAGCACCATAGTACTCTTTGAAGATCATCAGTTACATCATTTATATCAATTTCACGATTTGTATTTGTTAATATTATTCAACGAATATTTTCTTTCACTTGATTTTTTATTTTTATTGTAAATTATGTTCACAAAATCTATTGTTCACAACGGTTGGATTCATTTTTACCTTTTTTTGACCTCGTTTACTTTTTTTACATTTTTATTTCATTTTCATCAGTGGTGGCTCATTGCCTAGTCTATGGGGGATCTACTTGTTTTTATTATATGTACACATCTTGAAACTCATCTCGTGTTTTGACTTTTGACCTTTTGTCTGTCTGAGTAACTTTTAAATCGGGAGTAGGGCTTTCCAAAGATTTAATATGGCATTTTCAGCCAGCGAAAGTCTCGAAAAATGAGTTTAACATATTTTATACAGTATTATTTGCCATGTTATAAATAACACGGGAATACCAGTGTTCCAAGTAAAAATTATCCGATTGTCGAACTCAAATGATCGGAAATTATCCGAATTAAGTGAAATTATTCGAAATTTTTCAACGTTTACTTCGATACTAAATACAAAATTTTGTTTTGGTTTCGTAGAATAACAAAGAAAAGAAGAGACAAAATAAGACCGCTTCAGGCAGAGCCTTTATATACTCTACTGTCGGGTAAATCCATATTGCTTTCGGGAAATCCCCTAATTTGATTATTCTACACAAAAGATCGCCGTGTTGATAGCCAATTATATGTAATAGTAGCTCAATATAAGTATCAATCAGTATTGGCACTCTGAGGCGGCACGTTTGATCTTTAAGGCCAAGTTCAATTTCGTTTGACATATAATCATGATTTTTTTTTAGGTTAGGAAACTGGATTATCGATTTTTTCATCAGAAGTAATACAGACGTCACTTTAAATTTCTATCTCTTTATGTCAACAAATATGTAAGACGATGAATTTATAAAACGTATGTCACTAATGAATATGTGGCGGCAACTGACGGCAACACTGTCAGCTCCTCCATGGCTACTAGAGTACATACAGGTCCGGTATAAGCCATATATAAATGGAAAATAATAATTTAATGTTTTGATTGAGTTAAATAAAATATCAAAATTAAATGTTTATTTTTAAGTAAACGACATTTTTAAATGTATACGTCTTTAATCAAAAATAATATAGGCTAATACTCAAGTTTATACGAGTGTACTGGACAAGAGATAATTTTACCCTTTACTCCAGTTTTTTCTAATGAAACCAGCGGTAAAATAAATATTTGTGTGCCAAGGCTGTGTTTTGGCCGAATTAGACATATGCGTTCGAGTCTAAGCTAGTTCTGTTTAAGTATAAGAGTAATAGGCAAGAAACGGGTATTCAATCAAACTTGAGATCGAGATAGATATCACATAAGCAGGTGTACTGAAGATCAACTTTGCAGGACCAAGCATCAGATAGGTATAACACTTGATATTCTGAAAACTATGCATACTACACTAAATAAGAACGAATGGAAGTGTCAGAAGGAGGCTAAAGGCAAAAAATAGACGAAACAGAGCCGAATAAATAGATAAGTAATATTTTAGCCAGGAAAGAGTCGATGAGTGTTATAAATATAGTTAATTTATGAATGTATTTTTAATGTATAATTTCAGTTTATTTTCATTTTTGGTATAAAACTATGGCTGACATAATAAAACTTTTAATAGTATATATATATTCAATCTTTATTACTCTACATTATTTAGTTTTCATTTATTCTCTCTGACCTAGGGAAAGGGTTAGGAAATCCTGGTTATAATTGTTTACAATGTTGGTGTTCCTAATAATACAAAACATTACAGAGGAATGATACTTAGCCGATGAAATCTCATCGAGTTCGCGCATGACGTATTGTGGTATGGAATATGGCTATCTCTGATGCATCTGCAGATTTAAATTTATTTTTGCGTACTGTTTTCTATCAACTGATACCCAAAATTTATACAAGCCACGTCTTCGCACCACAATGTGACATAGCATCAAATCTGCTTAATCTCGTACCATTTTTTTTAAGTATCAAGGATATTCTTGGTGTAGCTGATCATCATGTTTCGAGTCATTGAACCTAAAAAATAACAAATATCAATAAATAGAATTCGGAATTTATTCCAAAAATATTTTTCTTTGGGAATTATATAGTATTTCTCGTTAATATACTGACAAACTTTTAAAGGTGGTAGGTGCATCCAAATAAACATTTTTTTGCTTAATAAAATAAAAATAATTTTATTGCCCAACAAATTAATCCATTTACAGAACAAAATACATGAAATAAATGTTAAACATAATATTTTGACAGAAAATAATTTTAGCAACAGCAAGAAAAAAAAAAGAAAATAAATAATCCTAAATACATTAGCTACAAATTAG